CCTAAACAGGATGGTCACAATGATAGTATTTTTATATGCTTTCATTTAACGAGTTAATATTTCAAGCACACTCATACAAAAAGCAGTGCTTTGGAATCTGGCCATGGGATCAGTCTAAAATTGCCTGATGAGCATTCCGCTCTTTCCATCCTGTTGTGATTCTCTGGGACTAGACCTCCAGGCCACTTTGGTGGACATTTTACTATAAAAACGTTAGTGTATCTAGAAGGGTTACAAGAACTGTGCAGTGAACACCCATATACTCACTGCCTAGAGCCTACAATGAACAGTACTGCACAGAATTTGCTTTATCATGTATCTATTCCTCCATCCAGGCCTCCAGCCACCTCTCCATCCATCCATCCATCATCCATCCATCCATCCATCCACTTATCTGCCATCCATCCACCCATCCAGGCATTTTTTTTTTTTTAAAAGCAGGAAAGTTTATTGAGATAGAAAACTAGCAAAGAGTAGAGTTCCCAGAGCTGGGAGGAGTCCCAAGACAGAGTGGCCCCCCCTCTGCAGTTTTGAGGCTTTTTTTTCCTGTGATACTGGGGTTTGAGCTCAGGGTCTATACCTTGAGCCACTTTGCCAGCCCTTTTTTGTGATTTTTTTTTTCGAAATAGGGTCTTATGAACTATTTCCCTGGGCTGGCTTTGAACTGCAGTCCTCTTGATCTCTGCCTCCTGAGTAGCTAGAATTATAGGTGTGAGCCACTGGCACCCAGACTTCCATCCATGAATTTTTTGAGGCTTTTGATTGTGAGGATTGGGCCAAATAACATTTTTTTTCTTTCCTTCTCCCGAGAGTAACAGGCCCTGTTTACATATGCATATATACTGAGGCCCCACACACCTACATGTAAAATCCACATGTACACACACTGCATATGATTTGTGTCCCAAATTCACACATGCACACTCCATGTGCAGAGCAACACGTATCCCCATAGCAAACACCGCACACACTCTGCAGTGCATACACCTGACAATCCCCCCCACCCTGCCCCGCCGCTGCCCTTTGTGCATGTGTTTCGTATTCATGGCAGATGCTTGACGCCTGTGACGGAAGCAAATCCAAGACATTTTGGGAATCCTCAGATCTGGCAGCGACCCACCTTGTGTGCCCGCCTTTTCCATCTTCACCACCATCTTCTCTCTCTTCCTCCACTCAGTCAGAAGGGAGTGGATCCCTTCTGGAGTGTTAGTGTACGTGTAATCACTTCCACCCTAGTCTCTTCCCAAGTCCTTGGTCACCTAAGATCACTGTGGGCTCATCTGCCTGTACATGAAGGATCCACTTGTCCTTGAACATCTGGGCAGCAGGGCTTCATCACCAGATCTGAAGTTCCATCCTCTGGAAAAAATCAGGTTCCACCCCAGCTCTGCACATAATCACCGCACACATCCCACCTATAGCTTCTGTGTGTGTTGGTTAACTTCCAGGAGCATCAGTTTTCTTGTCTGCTAAGTGGGGAGAGTAGGTCCCTCCGTAAGTACATCTTCTAGGAGATGTTCTTAGCAGGGAGCCAGCATGTTGTAGGCACTTAAAAATGCTTGCTGTGGATGTGATTATTATCATGTTGTTGATTATTGTTACTTTGACTTTTTCCCCAAACTCCCATGCACCCTCTGGGAGGAAGGGCACCCTTGGCTGGAAATTTGTATGGTAAGAGCAGGGTGGATGATGACTGTTCTTCTTCCCAGGTACTCCCCAATTGCAAGCCCTCATTATCCTACATGAATATTCATAAGAGATGGCCTCAACCCTACTCTGTAAATGGGTCAGAAGCAGGAAGTGGAGGCCAGTGCAGAGAGCAAGGCCCAGGGGACAGGAGGCTCATAGCAGCGATACATCTGAGTCCTCATGGATGGGAGGATGGTGAGAGGGAATGGGGCAAGAATGGGCTGGGGGAGGTTGGGGGGCACTGACGGCTTGGGCAAATCTGCTCCTATATTGCAGATTTGAAAAGTGAGGCCCAATGAGATCAGATCAGAGAACCCTTGGGATGAGGGGGTCTATGGAGTCAGACCTGCTTTTTGGATACTGGGGGCTGAGCATCTGTCTGGGCTGGGTGGTGAGCACAGGGGGATGGACCAAATGACACCTGCATGTTTTTCTCAATGAATATGGCTTACATGGCATTGAGTGCAAGAATCCTGAATCTTAGTCTTCCAGTAAGCCTCAGGGAGGTTGGATAACTTGCTGTGGTCATACAGCTGCTGACTGATCTTGTCTTTGGAGGTCTGAGAGACAGAGAGGCAGAAGATTCAGGACTAGAAGAGAGGGGCTGGTCATTGCTGCCAAGCAATGAAGCTCCTTTATCTACTTCCTCACATCATCTCCTCAGTAGCCCCTGGAGACAGCCAGAGCAAAAACGATTATCTCCACTTTACAGATGAGAAGCGTGAGGCTGAAAGAGGAGGAGGACTCACCAGGAAAAAGCTTCACAGTGAGTTGACTGCAGAGCGGGCTGGCCCTCCATGTGGACTGGCAAGGGGGATGTGAGAGCCCACTGGCCTCGGTCCTGGACAGGGGTGAGGCCAGGACAATGGGAGCATATTATCCTGTTCTAATTTCAACGTAAAACCGGAGGGACTGTCTACACTGCAGTCAGGTGAACTTCAGATAGCAGCTGCTTCTTAGAATGTGTTTACTCACACTTGCTCTGTGAGACTGAGCAGACTAACCAGCCCTATTCTAGGGGAGGGGATGAAGGGAGGTAAGAGAGGCTAAGTATTGCCTGAGATGGCATAGGGTATGGGAGGCTGGACCAGAACAAGGGCCCCAGGTATCACCCCTTTGGGTATTGGCCCTGTCTACTGTGCCAGGGAAGGGAGAGACTGTGATCTGGAGAATTCAGCAATGGGGCAGAAGTGTCAAAGGGATCTGACTTTGGGATAGGAACAGGGAGGGCTCACTTCAGACCTTATTTCAGGCATAGAGGACTGCTAGGCAGAAGGTGCCTATGGGGGGGGGTTGGGATCAGACAATCAGTCACAGCACAATGAGGGAACTGGATTTGTGGTAAGAGTTCAGACATTTGCTCAGCAAGCATTTACTGTCCTATCATGGGCTGGGCCTGTACTTGCTTGGGCCAGGACAGGGGACAGCCAGAGATGAATGAGATGGTCTGTGGGCAGTTCAAGTCTGCTTCCTAGGAGGCTAGGGAAGGACTGAAGAATTACAGGACAGGAAAAAGTGGACTGGATCTTATCATCTCCACTTTCCAAGATGGGCATGAACTATTAGGGCTTGGGGTCTGAGATTAAGGCCATACAGAGTGGCATTTCAGCTTTGTCCCTTCTGAACTGTGTGAACCTGAGTGATAGTGACAACAACCACTGTCACAGCCAATGTCTGGTTAGCACTCAGTTTCTCATCTGTTGCTCGGGGTGTCCTACTTCTTAAGACAGCTGTGGGCCTCGAATGGTGAGAGTTTGGCACCTGCTCAAACTTTATGGGAACTCATGGTATCTGCGAGGCCCCGTTGTTCTGAAGACAAGGGAAGCAGGAGGAGGTTTATTCCTCATGGGGCCAGGTAGTGGCTGGAGTGGGGGCCAAGCTTCTCCTCACTGAGAGGACATGGGACATAAGGACATGGGCTTTGAAGGGGGCTAAGGAGAAATGTTCAAGAGGAGGGCTTCGTGTGGGCAAAAGTGTGGAGGAGGGAAAGTGTAGGGTGCATTTGGGGAACAGTCCTGGCACAATTAATGGCCAAGCCTGGCACTCTGAGTCATCCAAGCAAGCAGTCAGGCCGGATCTTTAGCTCCCAGGGCCGGCTAAGAGGCATATGTACTCCTTCCCTAACATCGTTCAGTCTAGAGTAAGTGTAGGAGAGGGCTGGAGGCTAAGTGGAGTAATCACACAGCCCTGCTGCTAGGTCTCATAACTACCTCTGGTGGCCATCTGCCAGGATCCCCCTGCCCCTTGTAAGGACTAGGGTTTGGGCATATCTAGGGACTGAGAAGTCACTGAGCATGGCTGGGGGAGGGTGTGGCCCAAGACAGGGTGCTCAGAGTCAGTAGAGTTTGAACAGGTGGATGGAGGGGAGACAGTTTGAAAGAGTATGAGACTAGGCTCTTAGAAGGAACAGGGATGCCAGGGGACTTAGGGGACTTAGGTTCACCAAGTATCTACTCTGTTGTAACAGCCCTATGGGGGTAACTATCCTCAATTTATAACTGGGGAAACAGGCTTGGACAGGTGAAGTCACTAGCCCACGTTTCTTTATCCAATCACTCAGTTATTTTTTTCTTTATCCAATCATTCACCATTCAACACCCATGTGTTGAGCAGAGGCTCTGCACCAAGGCCGAGGAGTCAGCGGTAACCACCTCTTGGATTCTGTATCTGTTGGTGACAGTAACCTGAGGTCACATAGTGGCTTTGCCAGAGCTCAAATCCAGATCTATTTCCAAATCTTCGATTTGTCCTCGCTTTGGACCAGAATCGGGGCTCGGGCTGGAGTTGGGTCAGGTTGTGTGGTTAGCGCGGCCGCACCCTTTCCGGACGGTCCCGCCCCGCGCACCTGACTCAGGTGTGTCCAGGGAAGCCCCGAACACCGCCGGAAAGTGACGAGCGGCCTCGGCAGGTGGGGCGGGGCCGAGCGGGGCGGGGCGGGGCGGGGCGGGGGTGGGGAGGGGCCGGGCCCGGCGTTCGCAGCCCAGCTATCCGGATCCTGAGGCCGGCGCCCCGCGCCCCGCGCCCCGCCGCCGCCGCCGCCGCCATGGGGGCCTGCCTGGGCGCTTGCTCCCTGCTCAGCTGCGTGAGTCCCCACCCCGCGACCCCGTCCCAGCTGGACCCTGCACTTTTTCTCTGTCTTCTTCCTCCAAATAGTTTCTTTTTCCTTCTTCCAAACTTGACTTTCTGGGTCCGCACCCTGCTTCCTCGTTCCTCGGGGCCCTTTCTCACCCGGCCCCCCGCAACCACCCCGCTCCGGGCCGGCAGGCGCTGGGACTGCTGGTGTCGCCGCTCGGGTTACCGCGCGGGAGGGGTGGGGCACGCCGGGCCCGGCGGGGAGGGCCTTCGGCGGTGTCCCTCCTGGGAACTGGGGAGACTGAGGCCCGAAGGCAGGGCGGAGGGGGCGCTCGTCGCCGCCCCGGGTCCCCGCCCCACCACCCAACTTGGAGTAGTCCCCGGGGTGCGTCTCGCGACTCCCTCCCGGTCGCTGTCTTTGTGTGGCTTGCCTGGTCCCGGCTGTTCTCTTTTGTGTGCTTTTCTCTGGCCCGGTTTGCTCATTTGTTTTTGTCCCATACAGGTCTGTAGGGCTCGGAGTCTGTCCGTCTGTCTGCTTGTCGCCTCCCGGTCTCTGGCTGCCCTGTCTGCTCTATGCACTCTGGCCCAGACTCACTCCTGTGCACTTCCCCGGCAAGCGCTGGACCCTTTTCCTCTCGGCCAGACAGGGGTGGGGATGGGGGTGGGAGGAAGTCCCTGCCCTTGTCACTGGCCACCTGGGCCAAACTTTGGATTGGGAGACCCAGGAATCGAGGGAGATTTGGGTGTGCGTGCCTGGTGGCCTATGTTAGGGGATCTGGGGGGCAGCCAGCTCTGTTTTGGGATGGTAGCCAGCATAGGGGAGGGGAGGGGCTCTAGCTAGACTCCGGCTGGGAGGCCTTCTTCTTTCCTTTTCCCAGCCCCCTCTCTTCCCCTCATTAAATCTGAGGTTCTTTCAGACAGCTCCCTCCCACTCTGGCCCCACACAAAGAGGGGTGGAGGGGAAGGGGCTCCCCAGGCTTGGCTTTCCTTTGTCCCTGATTTGTGTGTGTTAGGAGGGGTTTGGGGGGATGGAGCTGGGGATCCAGAGGTTTTCTTTGTAGCCAATTTCTGAGAATGAGCAAGAGCCTAAGGAAGCTGTGGAGTGTGTCACTGGACACATTTCTCTCTCTCTGGACCTCCAGTGAAGTGCCTCTCTCTCTGTCTCTCTCTCTCTCTCCCTCCCTCCCTCCCTCCGTGTGTGTGTGTGTGTGTGTGTGTGTGTGTGTGTGTGTGTGTGTGTGTAGCTGTGGAGTGTGTCACTGGACACATTTCTCTCTCTCTGGACCTCCAGTGAAGTGCCTCTCTCTCTCTCTCTCTCTCTCTCTCTCTCTCTCTCTCTCCCTCCCTCCCTCCTCCCTCCTCCGTGTGTGTGTGTGTGTGTGTGTGTGTGTGTGTGTGTGTGTGTGTGTGGTGTGTGCTGGAGGAGGGATTTGCTGGATCTGCTGGGGCAGAACCCATTGCTTCCTGGTGAGGGCGGGAGAGCTTCCTAAGGTCCACTAGATTCCTGTCTGTCCTGCCTGGTTTGGCACCCTGTGTGTGAGGGAAGACCTACCAGCCCCCTGTGCTGGGGTCTCCTGTCTGTGAGTTGAGGATGGTAGTGCCTTCCTCATGATGCTGTAAAGGATTAAATAAGATTCTGAAAGTGTCCAGCCCAGGCCCAGTGAGGGCTCACTTCAGGGGCTGTTATCCCTGAGGAAAGGTAGGTGGAGGATTCCATCTGGGGAGAGTGGTCTGAGTCATGGAGTCCCACTGAGCTGAGACCAGACAGGCCTGCTCAGATCCTCACTGTGTAGACATGGAGACCCATAGCCACTTGAAAGGATGGGGGTACTACTGCATGGTCAGGATGAAAATCTGATTTCTGGCCAGGCTGCTGCTCACACCTTCCCTCCCTCCTCTGTGTCCTGGCAGGCTGTGGGGGGAGGGGAGCTAAGTAAGTTAGTGAGGGTCCAATATCTGCAACGGACCTGCCCTTCCCTCACTTGGCACCCTTCTTCGAACTGTGACTCTGACATTTCTGTACCATGTGCTTTGCTGAAGCCCTCACCAGTGCCACCTCACTGGTTCTCCCCCAGCTCTGTGACATCATTTTCTTGTTTTACAGATGACCACACCAACAATGGTCACCATTTACTGGTTACTTAAGTCATAGCGCTGTCCCGCAGGAGCTGAGACAGGCCCAGCACTGTAGTGAGCACTTTCCACCTCATCCTTTCATTTAATCATCACAATTCACAGATGAGCAAGGTGGATCAGAGAGGGCTGGCGATTTCTCCATAGCTGCACAGTATTAAGTGATACAGTGGGGCACTCCTGGATGTATATATCCTGGGTCAATGAAGAGTTAGTTGCTCTATATGGGTTGGTGAAAGCTTCTGTATCCTCCCAGGTGTGACCCTTTTTGCCCATTGTGCCTCTCTCAGCATTTGTACTGGGCAGAAGGTGAGTCCTGTCTTAGATGGGGAGATAAGATAGGGTGACCGGGGGTGACAGTCACTAGGCAAGTCAGTGTAGGGTGCCTACAGTCAGTAGATATTTAGGAGGGCCATCTGCATGTCTAATCCTCTTTGCTGGGACCTCCTTTCTCCCAGCCTCAAGTGGCTGACTTCTTGATCTTCAAGTAGCTGCCCCCTCCCATTTTTATTGTGGTTATATATATATATATATATATATATATATATATATAAAATGGGCCATTGTAGCTTTTTTTTTTTTGTCTTGCTATGTTGCCTAGGCTGGCCTCAAATTCCTGGTCTCAAGCAATCTTCCTGCTCAACCACCCACATAGCTGGGACTATAGGACTGTACCCTGCTTCATTTTAGCCATTGTGAAGTGTACAGTTCAGCCGTATTAAGTACATTCACAGTGTTGTGCCATCATTGTCACTACCCATCTCCAGCCCTTCTTTTTTTGGTGGCACTGGGATTTGAACTCAGGGTCTCACATTTACTAGGCAGGTGCCCTGCCACTTGAGCCACTCCACCAGCCCTTTTTTGTGTTGGGTATTTTCAAGATAGGGTCTTGTGAACTATTTGCCTGGGCTGGCTTTGAACCTTGATCCTTCTGATCTCTGCCTCCTGAGTACCTAGGATTACAGGTGTGAGCCACTGGTGCCGTGCTCTCCAGTCCTTCATCTCCACAAACTGAAGCACCTGTCACGGAGCAGCTCCCCAGCTCCTGCTGGCCCCCATTCTCCCTCTCCTCCCAGTGCCCCTGACCACTCTAGATTCATATGGTTACGGTGTGTCTGTTTGTGCCTGGCTTCTGTCACTTGGCATCATAGCCTCAGGGTTCCAGCACATGTAAATTTCCTCCCTTTTCAAAAGGGAGTGAGAGTCCATTGCATTCTACACCACAATTTGTTTATCTGTTCATTCATCAGTGGACATGGGCTTATTTCCACCTCCTGGACTGTGATTGTGACCGTATGAGTGAGTGTCTCTGCTTTTATTGCTTTTAGATATAAAGCAGGAAGTGAAGGGCCAGTTCTTTTTTTTTTTTTTTTTGTGGTACTGGAGCTTGAACTCAGGGCCTACACCTTGAGCTGCTCCATCAGTCTTTTTTTTTGTGACAGGTTTTTTCAAGATAGGGTCTTGTGCACTTTTTGCCCAGGCTGGCTTTGAACCTGATCCTCTTGATCTCTGCCTCCTGAGTAGCTAGGATTACAGGCAAGAGCCATCAGTGCCTGGCAAGGGACAGTTTGTTTTAAGCACAACTTAAAACTACCCTGAGCTGCCTCTTCTACCCACCCCAGGAGTGGTTCTGAGAACCCCTGCCACTGGCTCTAGGAATAACCAGGAAAGAGTGCAAATGACACAGTGACCAGCAGCTGTCCAGCTTGCTCTGGGAGGTGGTGAGCTCCTTGTCACTGGCAGTGTGCAGGCAGTGGAGGATGGATGGCTGTTTCTGGTCTAGTCTTCATGGCAGAGACTGGGTTGGTTGAGTGCTAAGAAACCTTGCAGCTTTCAAGCTCCAGAATCCAGGGCTTCTTAGATTCCGAGTTCTCCATTTGGAGAAGCTGGGCTGGCATAGGATCAGACCTAGCTGTTCCACTGCTGCCTCTCCAGGGTGCATGGGGGGAGGAGGAGGAGGCGGGAGTGAATGGGCCACCACTGTCTCCAGGTGTAGGACATTAAGATTATTTGCAGTTTCTTGAATTTCTAATCAAGCTTTGTGTTTTAGATTTTTCCTTTATTAAAAATATTTTGTTTGTAAAATCAACTTAGTCAAGATATAATTTATATACAGTTAGATGTCCCTCAGTTCAGTGTCACCCACACCTGCCCCTTGTAGCAGAGAAGCTTCTGCTGTGGATACCAAAATGCACTGAAGGGCACTCGGTTATTGGTGTGCCCGGTTAGTTCTTGTTGTGCACACGTCACTGCGCTTCTGTGTGTTCGTGCTGCACATGGCTGCCTGCCCTCCCATGGCTGCTGGGGGTTCCAGCAAGAGCTGTTCTGGGGGGGAGGATCCGAGTGGGTGAACTTTGCTCTGCAAGCAGCTGGGGCTGGTGTGGTGTTTTCTCTCAGACCTGGTGTCTGGTCGCTGATCAGAGCTTTGGAAATTGGAAATCCTGAGGTTTCTGGTGTCAGAAACACCTGGATTTAAATCCAGAGTGAGCTCAAAGGCCAAGCTCCCCGAAAGTGGGGCAGCAATCTTGTTTCAAATTTCTCAAATTGAAATGGTAACAAGCCAGAGTCAGGGCCTGTCTAGCCCATGTGTTCCTGAGACCAGGGCTTGGTGGCCTCCTTGCTTTCCTCTGGCCTTTGAGGGGTTGTTTTCATCGTGGGGGATTTTAAATTAAATGAGACCTCAGTGAGTTAGTGGGCTGGGAAGTAGTGTAGCTCTGTGGGCAGAGCTTAGCCCTTACAGCACACAGACCTGGGTTGGGATCCTAGCGCCTCAAGACTTACTTGCCATGTGACCTTGCTCATGTCATTTTTTTGTTTTAAGACAGGGTCTCACTATATAGTCCAGGCTGGCTTCCAACCTCTGTCCTCCTGCCTCAGCCTCTCAAGTGCTGGGATTATAGGTGTGAAGTAAAATTTCAGGCCTCATGTCACATTTTTTTTTCTTTTTCTCATGTAACTTTTTTTGAGTCTTCAGTTTCCCCATCCCTAAGTGGAAGATTACAACACACTTCATAGCATCAGAGTCTCTGAGGAGCAGGGCTTGCTGTCTGCAAATCTGCTTCTGCAATGGGAAGCCGTCCCTTCCTGAACCTCTAGCTGTCCACCCTCCGTGGAGCCTCCATGCTCTCCAGATGAAAACCGGGTGCTGTGCTCGGCTGCCAGGCACTAGCTGCTTCTTGCCAGCTCACTTTAGCCACAAGAGCCTGCTTTCCCTTCCTCTGGAGCCCAGCTCCTGTCATCCTAGAGCCCCTGGCAGGAGTACTTTCCTGCCTGGGCTGGCAGCACCCCCTTGTCCTTCAGCCCAGAGTTTAAATGTCACTTCTTCAAGGAGGCCTTCCCTGACCAGCCAGCCCCAATCAAAACTAGGCCTTGACAGCACTCTCATGGCAGTGGGCATGTTTTTTTGGGCACTTGCTAAGATGCCTGTAACTTTTTGTTTGCCTTCTGGCTCTGGGAGGTTCTGGGAGGGTGGGGCTCTTACATTCTGGGGTGAGGACTTAAATTTTGGGGTGAAGGCTGTTGGTGGCTGGCTGCAGGGCCTGTGTCCTCAAGGCCTGGTCTGTTTCCCACTCTCCACCCAGAGGGGTGAGTCTCTGTTCTCGGCACAACTGTAAGTGGTGTGGCCTCCCCAGCCTCTCAATAGTTTCAGCAGCCCAGGGAGGGCTGATGGCCGAATGGACTGTAGATGTGGAGGGGAAGCATTAGGGCCACCACCTGCTGTCCAGACCTGGTCCAGCCCTAGGTGGGAAATGGCCACTTGGGATTCTCAATTCCTTTCATGCAACAGATTTTGTTTTGCACTTGCTGATTTGTGAGGTCTTAGAATGTGTCTACTTCCGTGCCAAGCACTTTATATTCATTCAACAGATATGTGCCAGGCTCTGTATCAGTTCACAGCACAGTGAACAAATGTACTAAAACATTTCCTTGTCGTGCTAGAGGGGGAGGCAGGCAGATAAGTAAAATACAAAGCCTATCACATGACAGTAAGTTCTATGGAGAGAAATGAAGCGGGAAGGGACAAGGGAGCCGAGGGGGGTTACACTTTTAAGATTCCCATCTGTTCTCACAGCCACCCTAAGAGGGGCAGAGGAGCAAGTACTGCACAGTCCCTGTTGTACTGTATAGAAGAGGAAACAGGTTCAGAGAGGTCAGTGAGTTGTATAACATCACACAGTTAATCAGTGACAGAGCTGGCCTCTTTTTTCCTTTTTAACCACTTCCTTCAACTAAGTGAGTAACCATATGACCGCAGTTCTCTTGCTAAAGCCACAGTAGCACTTGAGGTACAAATGGGTCTCAGTCTGTTTTCTATTGCTTAGTGGCGTCATGGTTGTATGTGACTCAGTTTCCCCCCTCCAGTTTGAAAACGAAAGGTAGGATATCTGGGGAGGGGTGCTCCTGTCCAGCTCAGCGCAGGCTTGGAGACACTGACCGGGCAGGTGGTACATGCTGTGTGCCTGTGCCGGGGAAGGGGTGGCAGGGAGTAACTAACCGTGCCCCCACCCTCCCTCCCTCCACAGGCATCCTGCCTCTGCGGTTCTGCCCCCTGTATCCTGTGCGGCTGTTGCCCCTCCAGCCCCAACTCCACCGTGAGCCGCTTACTCTTCACCAGCTTCCTCTTCCTGGGGGTGCTGGTGTCCATCATTATGCTGAGCCCCAGTGTGGAGAGTCAACTCCACAAGGTGAGCAGTCCAGGGGTGGTCTGGGGGCCTCCGCTGCTCCAGGCTGGAGGGCCGGCCCAGCAGTCAAGGGGAGGTAGCAGGATTTTGGGAGCATGGATGACCAGAAGGAGGCAGTGGTGGGGAGTATGCCATTCCTGTTTTTTGTAAGTCACTGTCCCCTTAGAGGATCGTGAGTCATCACTGCCCCCTAGGCATGGGCCAGGGACTGCTTCTCCTTGAGAGTGCCCAGGCCCAGTGTGGAGATCCTGATTCTTCCCTTTAGTTCAGGGTCTCACTGTGGCACATACTCAGGGGGGCGCCTAGGCCTACAGCTCTTACATGTCAGGGTGTGTGAAGGAGTCAGCCCTGTCCTAGAGGCTCTGCAGCCTGGACTCTGTTTCCCCAGGACTTCATGGTCGTGGGTGGAGACAGCTCAGGGAAGCCTCTTCAGACAGTGCAGCATGTTAGTGAGGCCTGGGGTGACAACAGTGAAAGGGACAGCCAAGAACAGGTTGTAACTGGATTGGGGTTTTGGGGAGCCCCCTCAGGGCTCAGCCTGAGGAAGGTGGAAGAGGGTGGAGATGAAGCTAGGCTGCTCCCCTCCCAGGCCTGGCCCAGCACTGCAGGCTTCAGGGTGGGGTGGGACCCTCAAGTCTCTCCCGTTGTCTCCACAGCTGCCCTGGGTGTGTGAGGACGTCTTGCAAGGCCCCAACGACTGTGGCTCCCTGCTGGGCTTCCGCTCCGTCTACCGAATGTGCTTTGCCACGGCCGCCTTTTTCTTCCTTTTTACTCTACTCATGATTTGTGTGCGCAGCAGCAGGGACCCCCGGGCTGCCATCCAGAATGGGTGAGGGGCCTCACCCTCCCCAGTGGCTTTTCTCCTTCCCTGCCTTTCTCCAGGCATCTGGACAGACTCTGAACCCAGGGGCTGCCTCACAGAGAACAGCTCACTTAGATACACCCATTTCTCAGATGAGGAAAAGAGATCAGAAAGGTCAGCAGTATGCCCAAAGCCACCCAGCTCCTAGTGACGCTGTTGGTCCAGAACCTCACTACAGTGCTTGCTGCTTGGTTCTTCCCTCTGCCCTGAGCTGGGGCTTTTTCTAGGGGCGGGACAGACTCTGTGCCCATCAGCCCATCAGGAAGTCCCTCCATCCACACCCCCATCCCTGCTCCTTGAGTGGGGGTTCTGGAGCAGGCCTGCTCTGGCTTCCGGTGTCCTTACCCTGACTCAACTTCCTTGTCCACTTCTCTTCCATGATAGATTTTGGTTCTTTAAGTTCCTGGTCCTCGTGGGCATCACCGTGGGTGCCTTCTACATCCCTGACGGCTCCTTCTCCAAGAGTAGGTGGCTGGGGGACATGGAGGGACAGCAGGGAGGCAGCAGGGCGTGGCCTTGGGTGGGAGGAGCATGGGGGGCTGCTCTTTCCCTGGGTGTACTGACCCCAGGTGCGGCTGGGTGTTGGCCTCTTCCACCCATGAGATAACTCCCTGGTGCTCAGCCTCTTGGCCTTTGGGGAACTCGGAGTGAGGGAGCCTGGCTGGTCCTGACCTCTATTCTGCCACACTGCATGTGTCTCAGCATGGCTGGGACTCCCCGAGGGCAGGACTCTGTTTCTCCTCGATGTTCCTGTGTGAGGTATGGCATGAATGATTGTTGAGTGAATATGTGTGGCAGAGGGGCATATGTCTTCCCTAGGAACTCTGGGGAGCTGCTTCCCCCTCACCTTGCCTTGCTCATTCCCCTCTGCCCTTCCCCACAGTCTGGTTCTATTTTGGCGTCGTGGGCTCCTTCCTCTTCATCCTCATCCAGCTGATCCTGCTTATTGACTTTGCCCACTCTTGGAACCAGCAGTGGCTGGGCAAGGCCGAGGAGTGCGACTCCCGTGCCTGGTACGCAGGTCAGTGCTGTCCCCGCTTCCACATGGGGCTGGGCTGGATGGGGTCCCAAAGGTGCTGAACGGAAGCCTGGAGCAACTCCAGCAGCCCCAGGCGGAAGCTGAACCTGGCCAGGCAGATGGGGTCCAGAGGGAGGGGAGGTGCTGATTACAGGATGATCTCGGAGGCAGAGGGGAGCTGCCCTGGAGAGGCCTTGGAGGGCTCGGGCTCCAAGGATGGGTGGTGGTGTCTGGACCAGATGTCAAGGGACACCTGCTGGTTGAAACCCCACTAGCAGAGCGAGGCCCAGCCAACTGTCTTTGAGTTCTTGTGACTAAATCTAGAACCCAGGCCTGCCTGGGCACTGCTCTGCCCTTCAGCTCTAAAGCTTGCCAGACTCTCTCCAACCACTGGGTACCTCATTTGCTTTTTTTTTGGTGGTAATGGGGTTTGAACTCAGGGCCTCCTGCTTGCTAGGTAGGCTCTACCACTTGAGCTACTCTGCCAGCCCTGTTTTGTGTTGGGTATTTTCAAGATAGGGTCTCTTGAACTATTTGCCCAGGCCGGCCTTAAACTGCGATCCTCCTGACCTCTGCCTCCTGACTAGTTAGGATGATAGGGTGAGCCACTGGTGCCCAGCTGCCTCATTCACTCTTTACAGCACTGTTTTGAATTCATCACATTTATGGTGACAGTTACCTCATTATAGCAAGTGAATTGTCAGGTCAGGACGGGGCAAGAACTCCCAAAGGTGCTGGTGGGAGACACTGATGTTGCTCCTCAGATGAGGAAACTGAGGCTGGGGTGGGGAGGGACTGCCCTGCAGGCCCCCTTGAGGGGTCAGGGTCCCTAGGCTTCCTGCCTCCTGAGCCTGTGGCTTGCTACCCCTCTGCCCAGGCCTCTTCTTCTTCACCCTTCTCTTCTACGCCCTCTCCATTGCTGCCATAACACTCATGTTCATCTATTACACCGAGCCTGGCGCCTGCCACGAGGGCAAAATCTTCATCAGCCTCAACCTCACCTTCTGCGTCTGCGTCTCCATCATTGCTGTCCTGCCCAAGGTCCAGGTGAGCTGCTTCTCAGCCTGGCCCCTTGGCGAGTGAGACTTCTTGTAGGAACCAGGGTTCTGGAGCTGGGTTGACAGTCACAAATGCTTAGGCTATATGTGCAGCCTCCCGGGACATCCTCTCCAACTTAGAGTCTTGGCTGCACATTTATATGCTGGGTGTCACTGAGAAAGTGTCTTTACCTCTCTGAGCTCCTCTCTCCTCAAATGTAAGATGAGGATATCAACACCTGCTGTTTGGCATTCTTAAGCTTGTTGTTTTTTGTGTCCCTGCAAGTTGGGGCTTTAGGAAGAGTCAGAGAGTGATGGTTCCTCACCCCAAGAATTGGTGCTGGGAGAGCAGTTCCACAGAGTCCCCATCCCAGGCCAGCTGAGACCGGGTAGTCCCCAGAGTAATGGTTTGTCCTTCAGAAGTTACCTCTGGACCACCTTGGGCACCCAGGGGTGCTTCCCAGGGTGAATCTTAACATGACAGGACATTTGCAGGTTGCTCAGGTGGTTTTCAGGGGTCATTGGCAGAAAGGTCAGTAATGAAGTCCAGAGATGGTGATGCTTTGTCCCAGGCAACACAGCAATTAGGGTTCATTCAGCAAATACCTCTCGAGCGCCTATTGTTTACCAGGCATTTGTTCTTCTAGGTGTTAAGGATTAGCTGTGAGGAAGAGAGGAGAAATGCCATGTATGTCACTTGGTCCTCACACGATAGTCATTTCTACTTTACAGATGAGCAAACAGATGTAAAGAAGTGAAGAAAATTAGCCAAGGTCACACAGCTAGTAAACAGTGGAGGTAGGATTCGAACCTAGACAGCCTGATATTAGAGCCTATGCTCTGAAATGCAGACTTTCCATTCAGATTTTTAAGTGCCTGTGTGGTGAGGGATAGGGAAGGTCTAAGGAAGGACTATGGGGGACCTGGGAACAAATGTGCCAGGGAGTAGCACAGCACAAGCCAAGGCCCTGGGGTGGGAGAGGGTTTGGCAGGTTCCACACACCGAGGAGGCTTCTGTGGCTGGAGTGTGGCATGGCAGGTCAGATGGAGGTGAAGATGGAGCAAAACCAGGAGGCTTTAGTCCTTCACTGCTGCCCTTGAAGAGTTTTTGGAGGGAGGACATTGGATAATCTCAGGGGTGTGAAAAGAAAGAGAAATTAAGTCTCCACTGGGTGTGAGGGGTGGTGGTGACCGGGTTGGTGTGGGGTAAGATGCCCCTGGAGAGGGTGGGGTCCCTGAAGCCCCAGTTGGTGTGAGTGGGCTGAGAGGGAATGGGTGCCCCCAGGTCTGGCAGGGTTTTACCAATGAATGGTTCTTGCCAGGAGGCCCAGCCGAACTCAGGTCTGCTGCAGGCATCAGTCGTCACACTGTATACAATGTTTGTCACCTGGTCAGCTCTGTCCAACGTCCCTGGTGAGTATGGGTTCAGGCTTGCAGAGACCTAACCTGTTGAGGGGCTGGGGACCCTCACAGGGACACCCCAAGTCAGCCCATCTTAGACTCAGTCCTTTGGGAAGGTGGGAGGACCCTCCCCCACCCTGCTCCTGTCTGTCTGTCATTCTGTTTGCTCAGTGCTGTCTACTGCTGGGCCTTGGAGGGCTGGCCTCTTGGGTCAGGGCTCCCTGGCTCCCTAGACCCAGCCAGCTCAGGCTGAGGGAGACTGTGCTCCCCTTCCCAGACCAGAAGTGTAATCTTCACCTGCCGACCGCGGGGGGCAACCAGACGCTCGGGGACTACCAGACGCAGTGGTGGGACGCCCCAAGCATCCTGGGCCTCATCATCTTCCTCCTTTGCACTCTGTTCATTAGGTACGGGGACTGTGGGCTCCGGTGCAGGGGGTTCTGATCAGCCACAGAGCAGAAGTGAGGGGCGCATATGGGAGCCAAGCCACCATGCTGGACAGTGTCCCAGCATGCAAGGTGTCCAGCTGCTACCTTGTGTTGGTGGATAAGGGTGTCCTCAGAGGGTGCAGTTGAGTGGGGGGCACGGGGGCTGGAGCCTGCCTTCTGGCCCAGGGCCCCTTCCTGCGCACCAAGCCACCTACTCTCCAGCTCAGTGGTGCACAGGCAGCAGTTGGGCAGTGAGGGAGCTTGGATTGAGCTCTGCTTCTCACCTGCTGTGTGGTCTTGGATAAGTGACTTCACCTTTCTGAGCCTCTGTTTTCTTCTCAGAGGAGAGTGATAATCTCCATGGTGGCAGAGGTGGCTGTGGCCCCCTAACCTCCCCTGAGAGAGGGCAGCTGTGTCAAAAATCACAGTGATTTTTAAAAGGGACATCTTAGCAAGTGTTGATCAGTGCAGACTCTGGAGCTGGGCCACCTTCCTTTTTTTGTTTGTTTGTTTGTTTTGTTTTTTCTGCCTCAGTCTTATGAGTTCTGGGATTATAGGCATGTACTGACTGCCTGTCACTGCCACTTGCTAGCTGTGTGATCCTGGGCAAGTCATGTCACTTCTCTGAGTTTCAGTTTCCTTAACTCTGAAATAAAGATAAAAATAGTACCTACACACTGGATTGTTGAAGGGAGACATGATGAGTTACTGTTACAGCAGGTAGTAGGTGCTGGGTAAGTGTGAGACTGCATGAGTGTTCACACAGCTGGCGGCCCGGAGGGTGGCTGACATTGGGATAGTTGTTGTCATGCTGGAGCTGGCCGATGCCTCGATGCCTCGTCTGCCTCCCGAGGCCCAGCATTTCCCCAGCACACTGTCCCTTCTGCCTGTGGCTCTCTGAGGGAATCCTGGCTGCCTCTTCATCTCCAGCTTTGTTCTCCCAGGCACCACCAGACTCCTAGGCCGGGATGTTTTTGGGGGCAGTTTCACAATTTGCCTGGTTTTGACCTTTTTCAAAACATTTCTGGATTGAGAGTATGGCTCAAGTGCTAGAGTTCCTGCTTAGCAAATACCAGGCCCTGAGTTCAATCCCCAGTACTACAAAAAACAAACAAACAAAGAAACCATTTCTCTAAGTTTTATCTGGACAGTTCACAAACATTTCTGTTCTTTGTCACATTTGGTTCCTTTTAAACCTGGAAAGCCCCTAGTTATCTCCATTTTACAGGTGGGGAAGCTGAGATGCATCTGTGAACTGAGCTGAAGCTGGTATCCAGCTCCTTTCACTGTTTTTCTTTTCTTTTTTTGCGGGGGGGTGGGCAGTACAGTACTCAGAGCCTTGCCAAGTCAGACACTCTACCACTTGAGCCACACCTCTATCCCTTTTCGCTTTAGCTATTTTCCTCAATAACAACTTTGGGCTTTTTGCCTGGGCGGGCCTTGAATCTCCATCTCTGCCTCTAGAATAGCTGGAATTACAGGCCTGAGCCACCAAACCCAGCCCCTTCTCCTCACTTTTTCAAAAATATGGACTGGGTTTTCAAATGACATGTGCCTCAAACTATTAAATTCTTAAACACTGAGACCTCATCACAGAAAAATGACATACAATCATTACTATGATTATTATTTTCTTTTTTTAGTGTAAACATGAAGGAAGTTGAGACACTTGGTAAAACTAATTACATAAGACTAATAAAATATAAAGTTGCCAGGTGTGGTGGTACGTCCTGTAACTCCAGTGTCTGAAAGGCGAAGGCTGGAAGATCATGGGTTTGAGGCCAGTGTGGGCTATATATTTGAGACCCTGTCTCAAAAACTAAAATAAAGCTGGGCCCGGTGGCTCACGCCTGTAATCCTAGCTACTTGTGAGGCTGAGATTGGGAGAATGGAGATTCGAAGCCAGCCTGGGCAAATAGTTCAAGAGACCCCCATCTCCAAAACAACCAGAGCAAAATGGCTGGAGGTGTGGTTCAAGTGGTAGGCCTCTGGTTTATAAACGTGAAGCCCAGAGTTCAAAACCCAGACCCTCTCCCCGAAAACAACAACAACAACAAAAAGAAACAAAACCAAAACAACCTGCAATTCAAACAAACTAAGCTCCCAACAAAAGCCCCCGAAGAATCCTTAAAGTTAATGGCAAGTGAGCATTATTAATTAATTCTTAACATTATTAATGAATGAAGCAGCTGATATGGTGTTTGTGAAAATGGCACGACACATCCTAATACTGGTGACAGCTTTCTTAGTTTCCACTTTGTGCCAGGCACAGTGCCAGGGACTTAACATCACGATTCATTGGATCTTCCCAGAAGCCTGCAGAAGATTTTACAGCTGGTGGGTCAGAGCTGGCAGACGTTCTTGCTCAAGGTCACACAGGGAGTTGGAATAAGGTTGAGAATCAAAATAATTTGTTAACTCCTGGCCCCGGCACCCAACCACTAGGTCCTTGGCCTCTGAGGCTCTGAGACCATCTGGGTCCAGTGCTGTGACCCATGCCGTGGCTGACTGGGTCGCCCACTCATAGCCATTTGCCCACCTTGGTGGCAATGGCCATGACCACCTGCCTTTCTCCCTGCAGTCTTCGTTCCTCAGACCACCGGCAGGTGAATAACCTGATGCGGACAGAGGAGTGCCCAGCCGTGCTGGAGGCCACACAGCAGCAGCAGCAGGTAGCAGCCTTTGAGGGCCGAGCCTTCGACAACGAGCAGGATGGGGTCACCTACAGCTACTCCTTCTTCCACTTCTGCCTCGTGCTGGCCTCTCTGTACATCATGATGACGCTCACCAACTGGTACAGGTACGGGCAGCCCGGTGGGCAGGGTGGACGTGGGGTGCTGCGTGCACGTGCCATACATCTCCTCTCTTTGGCCCCCTCCCAGAGGGGGTGCCTGCTCAAGACCTGGCTGTCTAGGACCCTCACAGAGACTGCCCCTGTCCTGCCTCAGTTTTCCTGACATGTCTTCATTGACTCAGCTCCTAACATGCTCACTGAGTGACTGAAAGGGGCCAACAGGAGGTGGGACTGGTCTGTCTGGGCAGCTGGGTTTGCAAATTAGAGCTGGATTGTAAGGTCAGGTTTGGAATTCATGGGCTGGAGGGTAAAGATTAGGGTGTGGGGGTCAGAACCAAAATCATGAGGTCAAGAATAGAGGTCATGAGATCTGGGGTTGGGGTTGGGGCCATATAGAACCACAGCTTATATGGTTATGCAGGACTACTGGGTAACAGTAGTTTAGTGCACACACACACACACACACACACACACACACACACACACAGCAGGGCTGGGTCATTTAGTTAAAACTGCAGTTGAGAGGCCAGAAATAGGGTTGAGAGGCTAAGATCAGAGGCCAAGGCTGGGATATGAGATCAAGTATCAAAGTCAAGGTTTCAGATCAGGACTAAGGTCAGGACCTCCAGGGTTCCAAGGTCACAAGGTTAGAGACCAGGAGTCAGGTCTATTTTGAGGTCTAGAACTGGGTCAATCCTGGAATTGAGGTCAAAGTCAGGTCTGTAGTACAGGGCCATAAGCTTTGTCCCAGGGTCACAAGGCTGAGGTACCTGTAGTATCAGAGACAAGGACCAGAGTTACAGGGTAAGAGTCAGCCTTGAAATCAGGGGTCACAACTTGGTCATAAGGTCAGGGAACAGGACAGAGCTCAGGAGATGGGTCCAGGCTCACGAGGGGGATGGTATGTTCCAGCCCCAATGAGACGCAGAAGATGATCAGCACGTGGACCGCCGTGTGGGTGAAGATCTGCGCCAGCTGGGCAGGGCTGTGCCTCTACCTGTGGACCCTGGTGGCTCCCCTGCTCCTGCCCAACCGGGACTTCAGCTGAGGAGGCACCCTTGCAGCCTGCCCACTCGGTGCATCATGGCTCAGTGACAGCCAGTTTTCCCCTCCCCACGCCAGTCAGTGAAGCTGAGCCCACCCACCCTCCTCCAGGACAGCCAGAGCCAAGTGCCCGCCATTCTTAGTGCCTTCAGGGTCTGAGCAACATCAGGCTCCTGTCTGAGCTCCACCCTCCTGCTACCCCCAGACCACGAGCTGCCTCTTCCTTCCCTGCCCCTCGTCACCCACACTTGCCCTCTTGGGACAGACGGGCCCCTGTTCTTATGCTCCCCGAGAGAGGGGCTGAAGGGGAGAACTGGTCAGAGCCACTCAGAAGGCCATGAACACTGAGCACTCTGAATGCTCAGCCCTGAGACTGGGTCTTCCTGGACCATGTGCCTTACTGAGCCTCCAAGACTTTGCCTAATAAACAAGCCTGTGCGTGTGCCTTCCATGTCCTGTGCTTCTCCCCCTTGGTGCAGGGCGCCATCCCTCCTCAGCCAGCATCGGGTGGGGATGGAGTGTTGGGGCTGAGGGCTAAGGGGCTTGGGCTCTGTTTCCTCAGTCACGGAGAGCCTGTGGGGTAGGAAAGGAAGAACAGACCAGGGCTTTGGAAAAATGGAACCTGGGAGCCAGAGGAGGGGAGGCAGTGAGACCAGGGGGAGGCCCTTCACGTGGGTGATGGACCAGAGTGGGGTGGAGAGCAGGAGCTGTGCCAAGTGACTGAGAGGGTGGCTCTTGGGGTCCCTCTTACCAGTGCCTGCCCTGAGGTCCCAGATCCACAGTAAGGACCTCAGTACCACCCTCTCCTTGCTGCTGTGGCCTTTGGCCTCTGCCTTGGGCTGGGTGCCCTGGAGAATACAGGGAAAAATTCAAGGGAGCCGAAGGCCTTAGGGAACCTGGAGCCTCCAAGCTGGCCTGGCTCCATCACACTGTGGAAGCTGTGGGGCTCTGGCTGCCCTTCCTTTTAGGTCCGGTTCCACATTCACCAAAGGGGAGTAGGACAACCACTTCCAGGCTGTAATGAAGACCCATGAAGCAGCCTATGCAAAGTGTCTGGATGGCAGGTGCTCAGTAGATAATGTTGGCTCCCATCTCATGAGGGCCCAGTGGTGTCAGGAGCACAGGCAGACTCATGGGGCCAGGGTCCCAGAATTGTCTTGTCACTGCAGTGACCAGCTAGCTGCGGGCCCTTCAGTCTTTCTAGTTGTGAGTGTGAAGAATAGGTATTGCGATGACTGGGCTGGCTGCACACTGGGTGGGGTGGGGTCTGGTTGGGGACACAGTGCAGTGATGGAGGAAGCCCCTGAAGGGGCTGGGTGACATGGCAGACATCCTGGAGGCTGAACAGGAGGAAACAGGCTGAAAGAAGTGACATTGCTCTAGGCAGAGGGGGCAGTTGGGACAGCTGTGAGCACGAGGGTGTGGGGTGGGGTCAGGAAAAGAGAAGCTCAGGGTCCGTTTTTTTTTGGCGGCAGGGGCGGGGGGAGGAGTGGGACTGGGGTTTGAACCCAGGGCTTCATGCTTGCAAAGCAGGCGCTCTTCCAATTCAGCTACTTCTCCAGTCTACTTTGCTCTGGTTAGTTTGTAGATGGGGGTCTCATGAACTATTTGTCCAGGCTGGCCTGGAACCTCTATCCTCCCAAGTAGCTGGGATTACAGATGTGACCCACCACACCCTGCATGATTAGGGGCCATTGTGAGGGGAGCAGACATTATCCTGCCAGTATTGGGGAGCTGTTGGGGTTCTGAGCCAGGAGAAGCATTGAAAGTGTGAGGTGATGACAGGATGCTCCCAGATGGTCTAGAGTGACTAGGTCAGGTTGTTATTTTAGAAAGATTTGTCTGGGGGAAATGGGACAGAGGTAGCAAGAGTCAGGAGCCGGGGTCCAGGGTGGAGAGGTGGGGGTCTGGCTTGGGTGGGGCTGAGGAAGGCTCTCTTGCTTTGGGAATGGATCTTGTGGGACTCTTGTCCCCTGTGCCACCCAGCTGAAGAGATCCCTCTCCATGGGGTGGCCTGAATGCCCTTCCCCCAGCACACACTTCATTTCTTTTCCTTGTTTCTCCTTTGGAGACGAAAAACCCCAGTGTGTTTCTGGTGATATTATTTTAAACGCATTTGTAGATGTGGCCAATTGTATAGACTTGTTGCTCTATAGTTTTCAAATTATTTCCTCCATAATGCATTGCTAAGGGCTGGGCTGGGCCTGGTGGGGCATGAGGCAGCGGGCAGACTGAAGAGCCCAGTGTGGGGGTCTCCCCCTCTATAAGCTGCTGGATCCCCCAGGGCAAAGGTCTTTTCCTGTCTCCACAGCCCTCATTCTTCCCTCCACCAAGGCACTGTCACACCCCAGAGCCTGGTGGTCAATGAGGAGGAGGAGGGGGCTGACACTGCCCCTGGAGGGCACTGGAAGCTTTGTTTTGTGAGACATCTGCTGCCCTGCATCCTGGCTTCCCCATGCCCTCTCCTCTCTCCTCCCTCTCCACCATTCTTCCCCACGTTCTCTTCCCACTGCTCACCTCTCTGCCTTCCTACCCTCTTCACTGTCAACTCTCTCCCCTAACACCCTCCTTTGTCACCTCCTCTCCTTTGTCTGTCTGAAAGAAGGACCTGAGGAATCTCAGCTGTTCAGTCTAGGCTTCCCTGCTATGGGGAAGGAGTTGCCCTTGACCCTGAAGGTCTATGCTCAGTCTCTGGACAGTTGCTGCCCTTTCCCCAGGCCTGGGCTGCTGTCATCAAAGAACTACACAGCAGCCTCAGCCCTGCTTTTCCCAAGCATGTTTGTGCACAGGTTGTGGAGTAATACCAGGGCAGAGCAATTGCAAAGACTGTATATCATGTGGGAAAACAGAGGCAGCATGTGTGTCAGCCTCATTGGCTCACTGTGTGACCTGAGGCAAGTCAGATGCCCTCTCTGGGCGTCAGCTGTAGTTTCCATAAAATGGCATCAGTAACTGGGCATGATGGTGTCCAGTTCTAAGTGAGCACCTGATGTTTGGGCTAATTGAGAAACTGTCTGCTTTCCTGTTACAAGGCACTGCTGCTTCTCCCTTTTCCTATTTTAACACAAAACAATGGCTGCAGCAGTAGCAGCTCACTTGGCATAGGGAGGCAACAAACCTTTAGATGGATATTGACATGTCGAGGATGTGCTGTGCTTTGCACTTGCTACATCAGCTCAGCTCTGCTGTGCCTGGCTCCAGACTGCTGTTATACGAGGAAAAAGCCCAGTTCCAGTTAGCAAGGTAAGGTCCTTGCTGCTGAATGTTTCTAACTGACACAGTTAGCGAGCTAGCCATCCATTTCAGTGATAATAAAAATAGGGGAAACTTGTCTCCATTGCTTGGAATTATTGAGTAGCTGTAGTGCAGTGCACGCACACCTGTGTACCCATGGTGTACTTATTTTTTACACGTGTTCATGTGGGGCACATATATGATCACAAACAGGAGGGACTGTGACAGATCATATTCTGAAGAAGATCCCGGTCTCTTTGCCTTGGAGGAGTTTGAGTATGGGGCAGGGGAAGCAGGAGAGAGGTTGCCTGCAGAACCTACTTCTCTCCCACTTTGGCTTCTACATAGGGGGGGGTCAGCGAGTGGCTGCTGCTCAGTGACAAGCAGCATGGTCTCTCCTATGCTGGGAGAGACAGCAGAGCTGATAGGACTTGGTCAAAGGGGCAGGTGTGGCCTGGGGAAAGCTGGAAGCAGTTTCCCCAGCCTTACCGAGGTGACCTAGGTTCCAGGTGGCCCATGAGCCCATGGTCCCAGTGGGTTGTGGCAGTGGGTATCGTGGAAGTGACCAGCATGCTTCATGTCCAAACACTGGATTCTTCCCAATGTGCCCACTGCATTGCTGCTATATGGGAGCCCAGACCTTAGCACCGCCCCGCGGGGTGGGGGGGTGCATTGCGCCAAGGAGGGCATTGTAGCATGGCTGAGGGTAGCATGAAGCTTTGCACAGAAAGTTGGTCTGAGCAAGGCAACAGAGCCCTGTTTCTTGCACACCTGTGAGAAGAGTTTCACATCTATAATGCACATTTGTGGTAGTGTCAAAAGCGATTGTCTACTTCAAGCAATAGCATAGAATTCTATCGAGTGAATATTTCATAAACTATTTTTTATTTCTTTTTGGTGGTACTGGGGTCTGAACTCAGGGCTTTATGCTTGCTAGGATCAAGTAAGATAGTACATGCAAAGCAGTGAACCGAATAGGACAGTTACGGAGTGAACAGACACCTATGCAGCCCCTTTAAGGAAGATTAAAGCTGCATGTTTTCCCCTTGGGATATAGGGATTTGAACTCAGGGCCTAATGCTTGAAAAGCAGGCACTCTTCCATGTGAACCACTCTGGCAGTCCCATTTTCTTTCTCTCTCTCTTTGTTTTTTTTTTTTTTTGGAGCTGGGGTTTTGAACTCAGGGCTTTCTGCTTGTTATGGAGGTGCTCCACTACTTGAACCACTCCCAAGACACCTTGCTGTATTTAAACAATAAGAACTTCAACAAAGACTATGACATTTGCTTGGAGTACTTTCTCCTACCCTCCAATCCCGTGACTCCTCCCAGTCCACTAGCTGCTTCATCAGTTAAGTGACATCCTGGCCCAAGAAGACATTGCAGATAACATCCCAGGGAGATAGAAAAGCCTGAAATACTGGGGAACGTAGGATCGTGATGCGTACTCGGCCACACAGGAGGTAAAGCCCTCCTGGGACCCTGGTCACAATTCTTACTCTGGAGGAAAGGTAAGAAACAGGGCTCTTACGCTGAAGACACGGCTGGGGTTTAGTACAGTGCCAATGACTTGCAAGTGACCTTCAAAAACAAGGGCTTTGCAGCCATGCTGGTTGGGTTGTGTTCTAGACATATAATCACCCTATGGCGAGTTACTTTAACCTAGCCATGCCTTGGTGTTAGCGGATGAGACGCGGGTTCACCATGTCCTGGCCTTAAGCTCCTAGGCTCCTGAGTAGCTGGGTGGCCTATGCCAACCTTAGAGTTATCATCTGTAAGAATGGATTGACAAGGTGCCTCTTTTTAGGATTAATGTGGATTAAGTGAGTTAATTTAGGTCTACTGTCTACAGCAATGCGTAGAGCATGTATGTTTTATATATTCATTGTTCCAAACAGAAGTTGGATGTACGAGCTTAGAGCTTTGAAGAGAGGCCAGGACAGGAGCCATTGACTTTTCTTCTTCTTCTTTGTTTAATATTATACAGTTGCCAGGCTGGATGAATATTACCTGGAAGAGAATAGGCCACATGTCCATCATTTAGGCCGGAGGAGAGAGATCCTATATTCCTCCACAACTGTCCAAACATCGCAGCACACATCTCTTCCAGCTACCCTGACCAGCTTCCATCTCCTTGCAAGTAGGAGACTGCTCATAGGCTTCAACCCTGACACTCAGAAGGGAGGACAAAGGGGAGGTGTGGCTACCAGGTT